GTTAAATAGGTAAGATGTGTTAGGGAGTTAATTAAAGGTAAGATGGCCGTGCAGTCAAGTGCTCTTCTGTCATAAAGGGCAGCAGTAATGCAAACTGACGCACGGTTTTGTGAAGGAAATGAAAAGTTTGATTCTCTCATTGTGATCGTATTAAAAAAAGAAAGTTTTTAAAAGTTCTAAGTTTGGGTTGTATCTAACTATAAAACTATACGTAAAGGGTTATTGAAACAAATAACGAAGAAGTTGGATGTGCGACTATACTACCTAAATGCGAGCTGCTGAGAGAAAAAAAAAAAATAAAATATTAGTCTGTTGGTTTTAGATATGTAATATTATATATTAGTGAGATGAAGCACGACAAAGAATATAAATGTTTGTAACAAAGTCCACCAAGATCTATTTTTGAAAGGAAATATGGCTCTCCTATAGAGAGCGTGAAGAAACTTTAATGTGATGAGGTTTGTGAAATGGGAAGCTATTCGAAGTATGAAGGGGCGAAATATAAAACTCTCTGTTTCTGTGGAACTACAATTGTTGTAAAAGGCACAGCGTTGGCGCAGCAATTTTCAACAGACCATCGAACCATCAAAAAAAGTTCGGACAACTTCTACAACCATACGATTCACCTGATCAATTTATTTTAACAAGGATTTAGCCACATTTCCGGAATGTATGGTAATTGGTAATACCCATTCATATAAGCTTAATTTTTAATGTACTAATATAATTTGCATAAATCATTCAATTCAGGTTAATTAATCTTTTGATCTTTTTCGGCCAAAAATAAGATTTTGATTACCACATGACTTAGCTATTTTAATAAAAAAAATTAGAAAAAGAAAACGATGGAAAAAAAGAAAAAAAAATTAATACTGTATTTGAAACATAGAAAAAAAGATAATTTATAAAATTTTAGGATTAGAGAATTAAGAAGGGATAGAGATCAGACACAGGATTGGTATAGATAACTTAAATAGTACAATATACTGATAGGTTACATCTTACTTCATAAGGTAAAAGAAATTTATAGATAATAAAAATTTGTAATTTATTATAATTATAAATAAATATCTAATAAATGTTTTCAGAACCTTTCTTAAAAAAAAAAATAAATAAAAATATTATATATATTTTAACTTAATTTAAATTTTTATTTATTATAATATTTTAAAATAGGTTTATTATTAAAATTAGTTTATATTACATTATAAAGTTAATTAAAGTAACTTATTAATTACTTATTTAATTACTTAAAAATATTTATTTTAAGCAATTATTAATTAAATTTCAATATATCAATCTTATATTTAATAAGTACTAGTAATTTAATAAATACAGTATTAAAAATTAAATATAAACTTTATATATATATTATTATTATTTTTTGCTTATATTATTTAAATATATATATTTTATAACTTAATTATAATATATTAATTATATTATTATATTGTAAAATTTAAAAGTTTATAATATTCTTTTACTCATAGGTACTATTATTAAAAAAAAATTTCCAGTACATATTATAATCTTAAATACTTTTACTATATTCTTATCTAATAAATTATTTTTGTATAAAAATAAAATCAGATTAAAATTAACTTGATAAAATTCTTTACCTCTATTTTATATTTAAATAAAATTCTTTTAAAAATGCAGATAATGTAAAAATCTGATTATCTAATAATTTAAAAATTATAAAGTAATTATAATAACAATAATTAGAAGTAATTTTTTTCTATAATTTTGTGGCCATTTTTTTAAAAAAAATAAAAATACAACTTCAAAGTTTTTCTAAATAGCAGAAAGCTTTAATTCGTGATCCGTATAACAATCGGAGAAATTCGGTAATTTTAATTAATGTCGATCAGGGATAATTATATATATCATTTTATATATGAAATAAAAAAACGAAGGAATCTCTCTCGCCAGAAATATAAATTAAAAACTAATTTTACAAATATAAAATTATGTTACTGGACTTCCTTTTACTTAAATTTGATGGATCATTTATTTGTGATTTAAAAATTTTTATTAATTTTAGTCGGGATTTGCACACTTTATGCAAATGTAACACAAACTTTAAAATG